CCGGAATTAAGATTGCCGGAAGAAATATCAACAACGTCTGATATGCAGATGATACTACGCTGATAGCAGAAAGTGAGGAGGAATTAAGGAACCTTGTAATGAGGGTGAAAGAGGAGAGTGCAAAAAATGGCCTGAAGCTCAACATCAAAAAAAAACTAAGATCATGGCCACTGGCCCCATCACTTCCTGGCAAACAGAAGGGGAAGATATGGAGGCAGTGACAGATGTTACTTTCTTGGGCTCCATGATCACTGCAGATGGAGACAGCAGCCACGAAATTAAAAGACACCTGCCTCTTGGGAGGAAAGTGATGACAAACCTCAACAGCATCTTAAAAAGTAGAGACATCACCTTGCCAACAAAAGTCAGAATAGTCAAAGCTATGGTTTTTCCTGTAGTGATGTACGGAAGTGAGAGCTGGACCATAAAGAAAGCTGACCGCCAAAGATTTGATGCTTTTGAATTGTGGTGCTGGAGGAGGCTCTTGAGAAAACAAACTCATCCATTCCAAAGGAAATCAACCCTGAGTGCTCACTGGAAGGACAGATCCTGAAGCTGAGGCTCCATACTTTGGCCATCTCATGAGAAGAGAGGACTCCCTGGGAAAGATGCTGATTTAGGAAAGTGTGACAGCAAGAGGAGAAGGGGACGACAGAGGATGAGATGGTTGGACAGTGTCATAGAAGCAACCAACATGAATTTGACCAAACTCCTGGAGGCAGTGGAAGACAGGAGGGCCTCGCATGCTCTGGTCCATGGGGTCACGAAGAGTCGGACACGACTAAACGACTAAACAACAACAGTAACTGAAATTGAGTAGTAAGTTGCAGCTAGAATAGGTCCATTTACAGTAGTAAATTATGGGTTTTTTGTAAATTAAATGTTTTGTAAGTTCAATTGATTTAATGGACCTATTCTAGTTGCAACTTACTACTCGATTTCAGTCTGTGGGTGTCTTTTTCAGACTGTTTTCCCACTACCAGTTGCAAATGGGAAATTTCAAGGTCCCTGCTCTAAACTTTTTGTGGCAAACCTAAACCAAACAAAATGCAACCTTCCTTGCTAGGTCAGAGAGAAATACCTCCACACTCAGAACTAATCCCTGTAAAGTATGACACATGGTCACTTTAGATATGACTAAGTTTATCTTACCATACTACTCTTTAAAAGGCAGAGGACCATTGGATCTTTGCATTTTCTGGACTACAACTCTAATTAACCCACCTAGCATGACCAATGATAGGATTGTACAAAAAGTAGAAGGAATGTGGTCTAAGTACAATTATTTTTGAGGCAGGGTTAACCAGGGCATAGTAACATTCCTTTGTAAATAATGTAATGACAGGACAGTAACTTCTTTGTATGATGAGTAATGTTTGTTCTTACCCTCTCTTCCTAACTATTTAATATATATGCCGCTTCATTATAAGGGATATCTATATTATTCAATTAAGACTCTGGTACTGTACTGAGGCTAGCACCTGGCTGCTAGGATCTGTTGCTAGTGTCTGTTATTAGTCTAAGACTGGTAAAGAAATAGAGGTGATGTTTTGGCAATTGTTTTCTTTCAGTCTTAGCCATTTTGAGTTTTTGTATTGGAAATGAGAAAGGCAGTGAGAAAAGCAGTTCTAATAAAACTTAAAACAGGAGAAATAGAGGACCAAAATTATAGAGAAATATATCTGTCTTTTATATAAAATTTTTGCTCCTCTTTTTGTGTTTTTTTTTATTGTTTGCACAGGGTGGTAAATCTATAAAACCACATTGTACACTATTTCATAACCAGCTATAACTAGCTTTGTGGGAACCTTAAGCACATAAAGAAACCACACCATTACATCCGGTAGAACAAACCTATTTTTTAAAGATTAGCTTTTGTTAATGAGCTAACAAGCTGAACTGGTCAGAGAAGGTGTGCCACTCAGTGCATTGCATTTTCCCCATCCTTGCAAGAGTGGGGTGACTATTGTCTTCCATTCCTCCCTGACAGTATCAATGCAGGGAAGCTAAACTATAAAAACTATTTGTGTATCCACATAGTAGTAGCCCCTCAGCTGTGGGAGGAAGGGCTAGTCATCTGTGTGGCACATGATCCTAAAGGTAACACCACATTTAGCTGACTAGGGGTTTTTTCCAATGTGTGAGGGCACCTGTGCGTTTCCCTTTGCTGCATTGTGTCATGCTGCACACCATCAACCATTCATACGATACATAAATTTTACTATGGTCTCTGTCTACGTCAGAACTCAAAAGATGTAAATTTATAGTGGTTTTATAGGGTACAAAACTGCCAGTAAGCACTTTGTTCTTGATTTAGTGTTTTATTATATCTCACCTCATTTCCTCTCTGTTAAGGAGCTGTAAAGAAAAAGGAGAAAATCCAGAGTTAGCCGTCCCGTCAACTAAAGCTGCCTGAGCAAGACAGAGTTGTAAGAGCGAGAGAGATATTAGAAAGCGAGGAGTTGAATGTAGTGGAAGAGACAAGGAGGGAATCAAAGGAAAAAGAGGAAAAGATTGAGATCTGTTTGGTGGAAGAGGGAGAAAGAGATGGAGGGGAGGAGTTAATTTTACCCATGTGGGAGGAGATAGGAGGAAAAAGTGGGAGGAGACAATTCAGAGTAGAGGAATAAGAGAAAGGAAGGAGGAGGAAAAGGAGATAGAGAAGAAAAAAGAATCAGAATATAATAGAATGAGAGGATTGTTGGAGGATTTTCCTAATCTGAAGATAGGAGGATTATTGCCTAATCCAGTGGTCCCCAACTTTGGGCCTCCAGATGTTCTTGGACTTCCAACTCCCAGAAATTCTGGCCAACAGAGGTGGTGGTGAAGGCTTCTGGGAGTTGTAGTCTAAGAACATCAGGAGGCCCAAGGTTGGGGACCACTGGCCTAATCCGAACACATCCAAAGAAAAGAGACACCAGTAGATTCTTTAGAATGGACAGTAGTAGTATATCCGCAAGGACAAGGTAGCTCTAAGAATGTGATCCGACCAGACACTTCTTTCAACAATCCACCACCGGCGGGAGATTGGGCCAGACACCCCTGTTGTGGGATAACCTGCGTGGTTCAGAAATACTCCAATGAGGAAACCCACCCATCGCAAACGTTTTGGGCCAGCCCCTCAATGAATCCTGTCAGTTTGAAGATAGAGCTGTTGTCCCCACAGTATGGACAGTTACCTGATATTAGATTGTTTGAGCCAGTAGAGGTGATTGTTGATTCACCTAATGTTAAAACCAATAAACCTGTTAATGTTCAAAAAGAGACTCTGTTGTCATTTGCCGCCAAAAAGGAGGAACTGCTTCAGATCTTTTTGATGAACCCGATCAGTCTTCTTGTTTTATTTTAAGGTATTGTCAACCTCAATGAGTGGACATGTTATGCAGAAAGCTATATATTACAATATAATATAAAAGTTCACAAACCCTTGCGTAGTTCTGGTTGATATGAGGTAATGATAGTACTGAGAATATGGCAGGCGTAAGTCTACACTTAAAGACTGCAGCTGTAGATTTTTGCCTGGTCACTTTGGCAGGAATGTGTATCGCATTGCCACTGACCTTCTCTTTCTGTGAGACTTATAACTGCACCCATGAAAATTCAATACTTTCACAAAAGGGGGTTATGAAGGCAAATTGTTTTAACTGTTTTATGAATAATTTTATTGTAAGCTGCGCTGAGTAGACATTGTCTAGAAGGGCAGGATAAAAATCTAATAAATAAACCAGCTTGACATGAGCATGACAAAGCTCTGAGAGACCTCATCAAGGGAAGGGAAGAGTTCAGGACAGTCAAGAACATCTACTTGAGATAAAGTTCCTCCAAATTCAGCAGATCTTACTTCCAAGTAAATTTATGTATTAAAACTGTAAACATAATTGTACAACTTGAATGAGCCAGTTTTACCTGTTTGTTCACTGAGTTAAACTACGACACAAACAAATGATACATACGCCATTTCCGTTCCATTCTCAGGTCAGTGCTGCAATATCATTCATTGAACACGTGTAGGGAAGCATCAGGCTTCTATTAATATTTTTTTTCACAAAATCTACCAACCAGGAGCAAAGGAAATACGTGGATAATTAAGAACTTTTCATGCAAGAAAGTCGTTTTGAGTTCCCACTTTGTGTGTTACTCCCATATAGAAATCTATTCCTACCTTGAGCTGCATTTGTTAGGGTGGGGAGAGGTAAGGAGTATGTTATCGTTTTTATTACAGTATTAAATAATTAGCAGTCAGAAATCCTTTGCCAAACCACTCAGATATTTTGCTCCTGTTCTTAAGGTAAATCCAATTTGTATTCACTTTTTGTGACATGTAACAGTGGTGCTTATTTATTTTGAACAATGTTTTACGCATCCTTTGTGTTTTTCATTTTAAGTTACAACTTTTTTTTTTGTTAAAACGGGGTGGGTAGTGAATGGAGAGGTGAGAAGGCTGAGGGCTTATTGGAGAACCGTGTGATAGTGAAAGGTTTGGGAGCCAGTGATCTAAATCCAACTTTCAGAGCTTGAAGAAGTTAACATTCCCTGGTTCAGGGAGCTGTTGTTCCAAATTGTAACTTTCCCTATCTCTGAACCTGCTTTGCCTCGCAGGACTGTTGTCAGGGCAAAGTGAAGCGAAGGAAGTCTGCCAAGGACTCCGCGCCCAGCTCTGTGGAGAAAAGTCGAGGGATAAGTAGAACCAGTAAATACACCCTGCCCTTTGACGGCCCCATAACGCCTTGTTTGTTGGTGTTATGGGGACAAGCTCGCCTGACTGGTTCCCCTTCCTTTTTTAACGACACCTTCCCTCAGACTCTCCCTCCCCCCCTCATTCCGCCTTTCTAGCTTTGATCCTACCGACAAGAGCCCTGCCCCCTTTTCCCCTCCTTCTTTTTGTTAACCGGCCACCAATGAACGACGGCGCTTCGCCGGTGACGTAGCGAGCGCGCTTTCTGTGTATGGTGGGCTTTGCCCGCGACTGCTGCCAATCCATTGTGTCCCCGCCCCGCCCCCACCTCACCTCCTGGGCCAGCACGCGATTGGCCCGGATTTCAACTCTGGGACTTGGGCGCCCGGGAGTGAAGAAGAAGGAGAAGGAGAAGAAGGGGCTGCGTGACGTGGGCGGCCGCTTTTTCTGCCCCCTCGCCCTCCTCTTCCCTCCCTCCCTCTTTCGGGGGGCTGGCGGGACTCTGCCGGGCGGCCCTGTTCGGCGGCGACACCCAAAGACCGGACTGGTCGGGGGAGCGTGGAAGAACCCGGCAGGGGCAGCGAGCGAGCTCTCCCCCTCTCTCTCGAGCTCACCTCAGTGGGGAGGTAGAGTACAAGCGGGGCGGGAGGGAGGGAAAGGGGGCTAGTTGTTGGCTGGCTGGGCTGACTGACTTTGAGGCTGAGGGGATTTTACTCAGAAGGAACCCCCTCCCTCGGTAAGTGCGAGCAAGGCTTCGCAAGTCTCCTCAGTTACTCTTTGGCTGAGGCGGGTGGTGGTCTCGGGTGTGTGGCCGCCCCATTTCGTTGCCTTCTCTTGTGTGCATCGTCGTGTCTGTTTCCCCTTTCGTGGGGTTTAGGAGGAGGAAGGGGGGCGGCAGGGAAAGGAGGAAGAGAAGGCAGACCTCTCTCTCCCCCCCCCTTTATAATTTACTTTCCAACACTGCCTTAATTTTTGACTCCCTCTCTCACCGAGGTCTTCTTATTTACCGACTAAAAGTAAGAATTCAAACCTTTGACCCAGGGAGAACTCTGCTTGGGACAAGAGGAGCCCCTGGTGTAGAAAAGGCTGCCCACTGGGAAGGAAAAGGGCGTCCTTTTAAAATGGAGAAAGTCCAGACTAGGATTCACGGATGGGGACCACGCTAGTGTGGGGATGTGTTGTGTGCATTTAGGGGTGCGTGCTTGCATAAAGAAGCTGTTTGCATTTCCCCGCTTTTAAAGCAAATAAACTGGTGGTGCAATCTGATTAACTTCAGAACAGGGACAAACTTGGCTGGTTTTCAGGCAAAATCCAAAGAAACAAAACAAAACAAAAACATGTGGCACCTTAAAGATTATTATATTTTAACGTAAGTGTTTATGGACACATCCACTAGAGTGGTCGAAATGACTAGATAGGATAAGTGTTTATGGACACATCCACTTCTTCAGACATATGGAAACAGAATGAAATATTGAATGAAGTATCAGTTTTACAAGTAGAAAATTCTTAATAATCATTGGCTCTTGGACGCTTGGTATATCTACATGAAGTAGTTTATGGCCTATATTGTTTTAGGGTACTGTTGTAAACATCCATGTAGGAGACAGAAAACAGACACCAGGCCTGAGCAAAGATGAGGGGGGATGTAGCCTTTTGTTACATACTGTATCTGTAACATGATCGGGTGTTTGCTTGAGCCAAGGTGAAGCATCAAACATTGGTTTTCCCAGTCCTTTTGTTACATATCTGTAACATGATCAGGTGTTTGCTGTGTGCTTGAGCCAGGGTGAAGCATCAAACATTGGTTTTCCCAGTAATGTAGGAGAGGCTGAGGAAATGTTGAGGTGTATATGGGGAGCAACTTTATAGAATCCTTTTTTCATGTGTTGTATTTAGAAAAGATTCTGAAGCAAGTGAGGAAAAAAAGGGTACAAACTGAAGTTTTAATATGATGTTATTAATTATTGTTTACTGTTTTTATTTTTCAATATGGTGTTTTTGACTATGTACGCCACCTTGGGTCCTTTATAAGGAGAAAGGTGGAGTAAAATATTTTTGAACAAAGAATAAAATAACCTCCCTCTGAAATTTGTATGTAAAAAGCCTTTACTTCCAGACCCAGGAACCTAGGCTTGTCATTCACTGAATCCAATGTGCTCTCAGTCCCTGACAGACAGGTTGGTCTTTCCCAAATGCTAAGTACTTGAATTTGCATTCACTACACTCCCATACTCCTGATCTTTTCAATTTACCAGGAATTAATTTCCAACATACTGTACTTTACAGACAGATAATTTAAGAGCACATATTAATCTCTAGTCTGTCTCCAATCCAGTTCTCTTATAATGGAGATTAAATGGTGTTAGAACTGATAGTGGGGGTGATAGTGGAAGAAGACAGCAGATACAAGTAGAGATGCAAAATTTTGGAAAAATTCCATTTTCCCCAGAAAAAAAAACAGGGAAAAAACATCCCCCCCCAAAAAAATGAACATTTTCAGAAATTGTAAATCTCTGGATACAAGTGTGTGTTTGTGTGTGTATTTAAAGATGGCCTGTTGACAAGTAAGCAGAATAATTCAGAGAAGAGAGACCAAGCTGTTAACGTCAGCTAAATTAGTTAGTTTCTTTATGCCTTTGCACAGAATACCTACTTATATTAGAATGAAGATTTGATTTTATTAAATTTGACTCTCAGTGAACTTATTTATTTATTTATTTATTTATTGGACTTCTATACCGCCCCATAGTGCTACAAGCACTTTTTAATTATACAGGCTACACATTGCCCCCCCAGCAAGCTGGGTACTCATTTTACCGACCTCGGAAGGATGGAAGGCTGAGTCAACCTTGAGCCGGCTACCTGGGATTTGAACCCCAGGTCGTGAACACAGTTTTAGCTTGCAGTACAGCGTTTTAACCATCAAGGCTTTCATGTTATATAGTTTGAATACCATGTCGTAGACATATTTTTCATATTTGTAAAAGAACATATTCCACACACTATTTTTTTTTTACGTTTTTCCAGAAAAAAATTTTGGGGGGAAAAAAGAAAAAAAATTTGTTTTCTCGATTTTTCAGGCCTCCCCAACTCTAAATTTGAGAAAACTTGTTCTGAGATGCTACTTTTACTTTTAGCCTAAAGTTATTTACATTTTCTTTTCAGTCTGTTTTCCTCTGTTCTTTGTTGAAGGAACTTCTAAGCAGAAACTGGATGCTTAATTGGAGCATGGGCCTGATTGTGCTACAGTGTGATACACTGTTTTGTGCTTCTGTTTTTGTTTCCTGCTCTTTGTTTCTTGTGTGAGCAAGATAATGTTTGTTTATCATTGCTGTTTGCCGCCAGGGCATCTCTACCAGTGTTAAACTACAATAGCCTTTAAAATATCAGGCAAAATCCAAAGAAACAAAACAAAACAAAAACATGTGGCATTTTAAAGACTAATTATTATATTTTAATGTAAGCTTTTGTGGACGTGTCCACTTCATCAGACATATGGAAACCGAATGAAATGCTGATTGAAATATCAGTTAATCTTTAAATTGCCAATGTTTTTGTCTTTTTGTTTTGTTTTGTTTCTTTGGATTTTGCCTGATATGCTTGCACAAGCTAGGACGGTTACATCTCCCAAAACTACAGCCTTAAAGGTTCAAGAATTATTTCAAAGGATGTTGTCTAGTTTATTTTTAAAAGAGTTATTTGAAGTTTTGAGGTGTCTGTATGTGAGGCTTGTTCCAGTAATATGTATGGAGTTGGCTTTGCTTTCTCCCCAAAAATATACCTTGTGGTAGTGAAAAATATATATTTGGAACATGTTTTCAATTTCATAGAGAAGTCTCTTGAAGTTTTGTTCCTGTCTCAAGCCTGTTTACTCTATTACAGTTTTGTGGCTTGGTGTACAAGTCCTATGAGGCTGAGCTGATCAGTTTACAATCAGAGGTGGCTGTTTGGATGGAAAATTCAAACTGACAGCATTCAGGGATGGTGTCAAGCGTCACAGCAGCTTGTCTATAGGAAGACACAGGGCTGAAGGTTAGAACAGAGGCCCATTTTTTTTATTTAAATGTCAGATGTTTGGCTGCTATAATGACTAGATGTGTTGAAGGGGGTGTATGTATACAGTGTATGCTAAAAACTGGTAATATTTTTAGAGTTTCTACCCAGCACTCTTGATATTCCTGAATTGTTTCCAATACCCTGATAGTTAAAGAATTTTCTGCTTCAGTATCAGCGGTTCATGAGAAGGCTTTTAAAGAAAGCCTTAAGTTTTCTTCAGTTGTATATGTTCTACCTAAATGTTATTTTCTGTCAACTGGAGATTTGTGAGTTTGCTTCCCCCCCTCCCCCGAACTACCAGAAGTTAATCTGGTGAAAGATGTTGCCTTGCCTTGAAAGGTGGGAACGTCCTTGTATTTTTTGTTTCTTTTGCTATATTGTTGTAAATATTTGACCTATGAGCAGAGAAATTATCCTCTACTGTTTCCCAAAGTGGGTGTGATCCTGCCTCAGATTTAGTGAGGATAAAAAGGTAAAGGTAAAGGTTCCCCTTGACAATTTTTGTCCAGTTGTGTTCGCCTCTAGGGGGCGGTGCTCATCCCCGTTTCCAAGCCATAGAGCCAGCGTTTTGTCCGAAGACAATCTTCCGTGGTCACATGGCCAGTGCGACTTAGACACGGAACACTGTTACCTGCCCACCGAGGTGGCCCCTATTTATCTACTCGCATTTACATGCTTTCGAACCGCTAGGTTGGCAGGAGCTGGGACAAGCGACGGGCGCTCACTCCGTCGCGTGGATTCGATCTTACAACTGCTTGGTCTTCTGACCCTGCAGCACAGGCTTCTGCGGTTTAGCCCACAGCGCCACCACGTCCCCTTTAGTGAGGATAGGTAGCACCAAAAACTTCTGTATGTATTGGTGTTAATATTTATGTTTCTTAGGATCCAAAATAATTACTATCAATCTTATTTTTTTATTTTTGATTCTGGATGTATGTTTGTGTGTGTATGTGTGTGTAAATGATGAGATATATGGCCTTCAACCTTCAAAGAAAGGTTTGTTTTGTCTTGTTGCTTCCAGTTGCTGGTCTGTTTAACATTCATAGACAGACAATGGCAACCAAGGTTCATTTCAAAATGGTGATATGTTTGCTTGTGTTTGTCTTCTCACTGAAGATATTTTTGCAAATATAGTAATGTTTATGAGTAGAATATTTTTTGAAGATTAGTTTAAAGGCATTGAGAGTTATCTCTTTCAAATGGGGAGAGTAGACCCTTCCATTTCATTTCTTCCTCTTTTTAGTTCTGTTCCTTTATAGCCAGGAATGGTGTTGGATAATTACAGATTGTGTGCATGCAAGCAAAAGAATCCTCAAATCTATTGTACACTGCACTGTATTATTAGAAGCTTTATAAACAAAATATAATTATGACTTAGAATGTCAGACTTGGTAAATCCTTTGTCTGCTCTAATAGGGGTTTTAACCTATTTCAATCTATCTCAGAAGAGAAAGGAGAATTGTTGCACACCTTTCAGGGAAATTCAACATACAGAACACTGACAGAGGGAAAAAGATTGTGCGTTGCATTCTGAGAAGGTAGTGCAATAGTTAACACACTCTTTCTGCCTTTTTGACATAGTATGGAAAAGTCAAGTCCTAATGCATCAGACTAAAGGCCTAGGTTCAGTGACTTGCTTCCTCTGGAAGACCCATAGGCAGGGCATGAAGACAGTAGACATGTCCTACTGTCCCTCTCCAGCAGCTCTGAATATAGAGGGTCATGTGTAGTTATGATCACCAGTGACTACAGTTAATTTTTTCTACATGAATTTGTCTTAATTCCCTTGTATAATCATCTGTGCCTTTGGCCAGCACCATAACTGGTAGCAGTGAATTCTGTGAAGAACTTTTGTCTGTCAAACTACTGCCAACTAATTTAACTGATTGGCCCTCAGTGCTAGTGTTATGCAAGACAGAAGAAAAAGTTATCTAGCTTTTTTTTCACATCATGCACAGTTATATGTGGTATGATACTTCCTCTTGGTTTTTTTAAAAATAAAAAGTCATCAAATATTTCAGCCTATAGTTCCTGCAGGGAAAGGCTAAAAAGTTTGACAATATTTTATCCCCCCCCAAAAAAAAACCCCAAAAAAGATATATGAAAAGGTGGAAATTTTTGATTCTCCTCTTTGTAAGTCCTGGGAACAGCTAAAATGTTTGGTTCTGTTTTTGTGTTATTTCAGCCACTTGGTTGTTTTGGTTACCTTTCCTACATATACAGCTGAGATGAAATTATAAGCACACAGATATATCTCTGAAGGAGCAGTAGACCCAAAGGAGAAAGAACAGAGTGAGCCGGCCCCTCAGCTAGAGACATCTGAGTGGGGGAGAGATATAGAAGTAGGGAAGACAATGGAAAGTGAGGAATTGAATGTGGAGGAAGGGAAAAGAAGGGAATCAAAGGGGAAAGAGGAGAAGATGAAAATCTGTCTAGTGGGAGAGAGAGAAGAGGAGGAGGAGTTAATTTTGCCCGTGTGGGAGGAAGATATAGGAGAGCAAAGAGGGAGGAGACAGTTCAGTGTACCAAAGAGGGAGAAACAGAAGGAAGGGGAGGAAAAGAGGGGTGAGAAAAGAGAATGCGAATATGATAGAATGTGCGGGTTGTTGGAGGACCTCCCTAATGTGAAGGTAGGAAGGTTGCTATCTGACCTGGACAAGTCTAAAGAAAAGGGGACATCCGCAGAAGCTCTAGAATGGACGGCCGTGGGCTTTCCGCGGGGGCAAGGTCACTCAAGGAAGGTGATTCGGCTGGACCCTTCCTTCAACCACCCACCACCGGAGGGAGATTTAAGGAACACCCTTGTTGTGGGACAATATGTGCAGTCCGGAGTGCTCTGCTGAGGAAGCCCACCAATCGGGAAAGTTTTGGGCCAGCCCCTCAATGAACCTTGTCTTATTTCCAGACAGAATTATCGTCCCCACAATTTGGACAGTTACCAGATCTTAGTTGTTTTGAACCAATAGAAGTTGTTGTAGACTCACCTAATGTTAAACTAATTCTGTTCAAAAAGAGACTCAGTTGTCATTTCCCACCAAAAAAAGGAGGAACTGCTTCAGATCTTTAATGAACCCAATCACAATATCCCATCATAAATAAAATAGATGTAGGGCTGTCTCCATTGTTTGCAGGATGACACACACACACACGCACACACACACGCACACACAGAGAGAGAGAGAGACACACAGACACAGACAGACACACACAGAGAGAGACACACAGACACAGACAGACAGACAGACAGACACACACACACACACACACACACACACACACAGAGAGAGAGAGAGATGCTTACCTTCCAGGGCCTGGCAGTCTCACAGTGTCGAATAAGATTTGTTCCCAGTTGTGTGAAGGGACAGACTTAAAACCAGTGAGTGAAAATTTCAGGAAAGTGGTTTATAGCTAAATGTTTGGAGAAAAATCATAATGAGATGAATGACTTGATGATGAAATAAACTGTTTCAGGAGGTGACAGACTTTTATTCCCTCAAGTTGTTTAAACTGAGACCAGGTAGCCACTTGTCAGGGATGTTGCAGTTGTATTCTGTATCCAAGAGCTTTCTTTCTGAGAGGTTGTTTTGGATTACCTCAAGATACATTTGAAGTCTTAATCTGAGTCTAAAGGGTTAGAGGTGGTGTAATGAATGTCAAGTAAATTAAATGCATTTATCTTACAAATGAAACTTAACAGATGACGAGCCTAATTACAGTATCTCTCTACCATCTCATTTCACTTCTTGAATTAACAACAGGGGCATTCCTCATGTGACTCCTAAATATAAGATGTAATCACAACAGTCACCCAACTGTTGCCCTGGCACAATATACAGTATAATTAATTGAAAGTCTGCTGTAGAAGAATGCTAAGAATATGTTACTCCTGGAAAAAATCATGGGAAACTACAATAGATTCTCACCTTAAACACATGGACATTTCTCATAGCCTGTGTTGTTTTCTTAAGGGTTTATGGTGGTTTTTTATGTATTTACAGTTCCAGTGGTATTGTTCTTAATGAGTAGTGCATATGTAGCTTCTCCATGAATTTTGCTTTAGGAAATAATTGTTGGAGAGAATCTAAACTATGGAAATTGTACAACTTAACTCTAACTTAATAATGTGTTATTTATCTCGCTGTGAAGCCACTTCTAATTCTGTGAGATTAGGATTGTGCAGACAGCCAGTATACTGTTGAATTTTGTTCCTGTTGCAATTGATGTTCAAACTCCTGAGTAGCTGTTCTACTACTTCAGAAAAAAAAACTATAGGTGTAGCATAAAAATGCTTTTAAACTAAAGATGTAAGAGTTAGTTGCACACTGATAGGTAGGAGGCTGAGCCAGAGTTTCAGGGCTTGCTTTCCTTAATGAGTCCTTAATCCAAAATATTTAACCCTTGAAGAATAATTAGGCACTAGCATTGTATCTTGGAAACCTGTGGGTTGTCAAAGCAACAGATGCTAAGTCTGTCTTTCACTAGGGAAATGTGGAGCAGAACCTCAGTGAATCTACCACTGCTTAACCTACAGTAAGCGGTCTGTATTTCTCTCTGTGGGATAGTGAGTAAACAAAGCAGTGAAGAATTGACTTGCTGCTTGGATAAGAAGGTTAAAAGGCCTGTGCAATGGTGGGAGTCTTCAGAGACAGCATTACTGTTTTGGGAAGCAGTTTTATACTGTATTGTGAGTGGAATTGGGTTATTATGTATCATTTAGCCGTTTACTCTCAATGTCCCTGCATGGACTATAAGGCATTAATCTTTAAAGGACAAATCTAGAATGATTGGAAAATTGCATGGGTTAGTAGAGAGAGCTGCTGAAGTACTGACAGGCTGGTAGTGATTAATTCCTATCCTAGTTCTGTGTACGTTGCACATTCCTGACCCCATTCTAACTTCCCCCCCTTTCCTCATCCCGCTTTGCACTAGAAGCTTTCCACTTCCTGTTTAAATTGGCTGCACACTTTTGGCTTGAAGTGACTTTCACATTGCTTGTTACAATTGTAGGTTCTGCTTCCATCCCTTATGTTTTGGCTGTTTTCTCTGCCCACACAGGTTCTGAGTCACAATCTCTTTCCATCTTCTCTGAGTTAATGCAGAAACTCAATGGAAATGTTGGGCTTCAAGGACTAAGAACTTCCTTAACCCTATTAAGCAAACAAGTGTGCCCAATCTAAGGTGGGTATCCTTACATTGTTGTTTATATAGTTGGCCATTTTTCTAGGATCTCAGTGTTTGGATAATTGAACAGGTAGCAAACTTCCTTTTGAAGATGGGACTTCTATATGACAAAATTTCTGTGTGGTGCTTTATGCCTCTGGTCTTTATTGTGAAGCATTTGCTTTTTTTTTTTTTGAATAACCTGGAGAAACACTTAAAAGATTGAAATCTCCACCTGAGAGTAATTGTGCTTTGAGTGACGGGTAGGAGCTTATAGGGCCACATTTCATTCCAATTGTTCTAATGTGATTTGTGCATGTTAAAAAAATCTTAAGTGCATGTACCAAGAAGTCTCTTCTCACATTACAAAAGGCATCTATGTATGTCAGAAATTGGTGTCCTTATGTGTTCAAGTCTGAAATGTACAAGAGGGCCTGACTAACATGCTACAGTGCAAGAGGGGTATGCAACACGTGGCCCTTGGCTAGCATGCAACTTCCCAAGGTGCCAAGTACAGGTCTTGAACCATTCCCAAATACATTTGAGAAAACACTGTTTTTTACTTAGAAAGCACTCTTGTGCCCTTAAAGGGGCATAACAACAGTTTTGCCTGCTTTAAGGGTCCTCTAGTACCCTGCTTCCACCTTCAACTACTTTTTAAAATAACAGTTTACCTCTAGAGAGTGCACCAAGTTAAAAAAAATAGTCAACATGGCTGATCTGGCTCCCCTTCCCCCTCCGTTTTGGAAATGGCAGAATGGAAATACCATTGTATTATTAAAATGTTATAAGATTAACATCTTGGTCCATTCCTGTGGTGATTAGCAGCCTCCCAGGTAGTGCAACTATTCAAACTATTCTAACCAGAAATGTGCTGCACAGTGTTGATAGAACACAATCACTAAGAATGTTACAGGAAATGTACCCTCTTACCTTGGCAGCACCTTTAAGGGAAGGATATTTCAGAACTGGTTTCTCTAGTAGTAGTCCTGGAGATGGGAGAGTGAGGAACTAAAGTTCTAAGTCTGGAATGGGGGACGAATCTTCCGTGGCAGGAATGTTTACATTCCACAGTGTTTGAAGAACATTGAAAGGATGGGTGGGAGTGTTTTGCCAGTTATTTTGGTTTTACTACTTTAGAGTCTCTCCCGCCCCTCTTCCTTCCCCCCTTCCCTTATCCCATCCTCCTGTCTCCTGATCTAAGTAAACTGGAGATATACCCTTGTAAATGTTAATGGCACCATCTGAGTCCCTCTTTATCAGATTCATTTGGCTTTGGGACAGTTGACCAGTTCAGTATGTACTTTAGTCATTATTTTCCTTAAAGAAATAGGGTTGTCTCTATTCTAAATAGAGACTTTTGAATCTGCCTTTATTCCATTAGAGATATGGGATTACCTCATGTGCAGAAGATCAGAATTTAAGTCCAAACATAAGAAATATCCCTTTCTCATGCTAATTGTCTTCTCTTGTGAAAGTTTTAGTTGAGTTGGCTCGTAATTTGAGCTGGCCAGGGGAAGCTCTTCTGTTGAGGATATAGTTTGTATACACTGTATCTAAAGAGGTACCAGCAGGGTTTTGAGAGGGTATGGAAAGAGGGAGTAAGTGAAGTAACTGGGCAAAAAGAGTCCTGAGGTCTGGGTGTCTGTGCAGTAAAAGACAAAAAAACAAAACAAAACAAAAAAAAAGAGACAGAGGCACTGATACAAACCAGAAAACAAGTCTACCCCAATATAGTGCTTTTTTTGTTTGACTGTGTAGCACCACATAATTTTGATCCTTTTCAGGGTTTTCTAGGCAGAGGGTACTCAGAAATTGTTTACCATTCCCTTCTGGGGGCATCCTGGGAGTGTGCAAGCTTGCCCAAGGCCACCGAGGTTGGTTCTTCTGGGCTGCATGGTGGGTATTTGAACTCAATCTCTTAACTCTGCAGCCAGATACCTACCTGACAGATGGGGAAACAATCAAGGTTTCCCAGTGAATTTATAGTAGCACAGTGACTGGAACCCTGGAATGGTAAGTCTAGCCTCTACTGACTGTTAGTTTCTGAAGAAAACAACAGTCTTCTAGTATGATGAGATGAGGCAGGACATGGGGCTGCTTTCTGTACTAGACTGGAATTGATGAGAATCAGAAAACTACACCTCTGGGATTCTTTTTCATCTGAGGGGGAAATACATTATATTGCCTTCAAGATCAAATTAGAAAAGCTAATTGCTTTCTATTTGTTTGAATCTTTCTGAATGGGTGCAAAACAGAAACAGGCCGTTGTCATGATATGAGGTGTTCTAAGAAGGATGCCTGCGGAAGTTTCAATATATTCCTTGTCCTATATTTATTTTGCAGTAATTAACAGCTTTATTCATCTTGAATGACATGCCATTTAAATTCAGAGGTACGCCTAAAGTTGATTCACAGTTAATAGGTAATGTTTTTCCCCAAAAGATCCTATCAAATAAAAAGCTGCTGTTTGCTGACTTTAGATTATGGTGCCTATTTGCAAGAGCTATTGTGTAAAATAAATATAAGTCCTTGTTTACCATAAGTACTATATCTGCTTGCATATTGGCTTTGAGCCACTTTGATATTGTGCAGAAACTGGTGCCTTTGCTGTGCTTTTCCGCTGTGTGAATGTCACATAGGCTTCTTGTTTGATTGGTTTTAGAAAGCCATGGTTTAAGCATGTACAGTATGCGGCATCTTAAATGCGAGACTTCCCAAAAATCTCCTTTTGAGGCAGCATTGCTATTTTTTTAAAAAAAGTAGTAGAATCAAGCTCATTGCAGTAGAAATAAATTCCCAACTTGGTTGGAGAATGCCATTGCATTAGAATTTGTCAATTATTTTCTGAACTACTTGTTGTGGCACCAGTTGTGTTGCCAGCCTTATGCCTCTGTCCAAATACTCTCAACAACTCACAGAGTCTAAACCTCTGGATTTTACACAAATTCTTAGGCGAATGTCCTCTACCGCTCCAAAAAGCACTTGACACTCTTGACCAAGTCTCTTGTGTATGTGATGAGCTGTAGGACAGCACAAACCATCAGGGAAAGCTTAAATTAGATTTAGGTGGTGCTGGGGACAGTAGCTCTGATCCATGGTGGTTGCATCATGGGGTTCCTCAGGGTTCTATATTGTCCCCCATGCTATTCAATATCTACGTGAAACCGCTGGGGGAGTTCATTAGGAGGTTTGGGCTGAGGAATCAGCAATATGCTGATGACACCCAGCTCTACCTCTCATTCTGTACCAATCCAGGTGTGGCAGTCACTGTTCTGAACTCGTGCCTGGACTCGATAATGGACTGGATGAGGGTCAATAAACTGAGGCTCAGTCCAGACAAGTCAGAAGTGCGGCTGGTAGGTGCTCCATCAAATAGGTTAAAGGGCCATTTCCCTGCCCTAGATGGGGTTACACCCCCCCAAAAGGGCAGGGTCTGCAGCTTGGGGGTGCTCCTTGACCCAGGTCTGACACTGGAAGCCCAGGTGGACTATGTCCAGGGGTGCCTTCTTACTGCTGCGGAGAATATATCAACTTCACCCTTACTTGGATGAGTGGAGCCTGGCAACAGTCACACATGCATTGGTAACAACCAGACTGGACTATTGCAATGCCCTATACGTGGGGCAGCCTTTGAAGACAGTCCAACAACTGCAACTGGCACAGAACCAGGCTGCGCGGCTGGTAAGTGGTGCCGCTGTGCAGACTCATATCATGCTGGCTCTGAAAAATTTACACTGGCTGCCGGTTGCTGCTTGGGCCAAATTCAAAGTGCTTACTTTGACATATAAAGCCCTAAACAGCTTAGGACCTGGTTACCTAAAGGACCACCTTCTTCCATATGAGCCTGCCCGTCCACTAAGATCAGGCCAGGAGGCCCTTCTGAAGGTGCCATCCCAGAAAGAGGCGAGAGGGTTAGCATGTCAAAATAGGGCCTTCTTGGCTGTTGCCCCCAACTTTGGAATGCCCTGCCTTTAGAGATCCGCCTGGCTCCAACACTTTGGGGTTTTTTTTGGCACCAGGCAAAGACCTTTCTGTTTAGCCAGCATTTTAATTAAATAGTACCCTTTAGCTGGCTGTATGAGTGGCAGGATTTATTAATGATAAACTGACTGTTTTAATATAGGGTCTTATTATAATATTTGATATTTTTAATGGTTTTAATGCTTTTCTAAAGTTTTAATATTGTTGTACGCCGCTCAGAAACCACTGGTAATGGCGCGGCTGGGGTGGTGAAGATGACAACAAGGCTACGTTCTTTGAGACTTCATGAAGACAGAAAGCCACTTAAGCCTTAGAAGGCTTTTTGTATTGATAGTTGATAGGGAGGCAGCATGATCAAATATATAAAGGAAATCTGTGGGTGCCATAACATACTGGGGAGCCCTTGACAGCAGGTGCTATAAAGACAGCTAGCTCTGTCTCAAATAGCAGAGGGGTAACTCAGACCTGGGCAGCCAAAGGGTGTTTATAGTGTAACCTCCCAATGCTGGAACTGTAGTGAGGAATGGAAGACAGTAGTCCCCCCTCCCCCCCAAGGGATGGGGAAGCTTCCACATAAATTCCACATAAAGCTTCTGACATAAATTATTTTTCTGACCAGGCTAGCATGTTATAATTCAATAGACAAGTGACTCTTTAAGACTATAGGTTTGAAAGTTCAGGATCCTTTGTGCAGTTTCTTTCGATATCCATGACTCATACTAAGTGGCTACCATGACATTCACGAATGTGTGTGTGTGTGTTTTATATAGCAAATACTCTGTCCAGTACAGGATGTGACACTGAAAATGCCCTCTCTTCCACTCTATATCAATTGGGGCATCTTGTGCTGAAATTTCTTGGGTCATTTCCTTGTTTGTCCTTACTGGTTGCACATTGTCACTGTTCTGAGACATATACTGCACTTGTAGGGTGTGGGTTGTCATAATGTCTGGCTGTCACTGTTGCCGTGGGAACAGGATAGGAAAGAGTTTGCAACTGTCCTTACGTATGGCTATGGAATTTACCCTTTATGTGCAGTCCATCAAGCCCCTGGGCAGAGGCTTTTCCTATTGTGTCATTTGAAATCCAGGAACTAGACAGACAAGGATCCTCAACCTTTTCTATGTCAGGTGCCATGCTGCTATTTTGTTGTTTGACCCATTTGTCAAAGTAGAGTTTGATTCACTGAATGACAGTTTGGGCCCCAAACTCAATCACTAATGGGCAAAGTCAAACCCTCATTACCTAAAAGGAAATCCAGTAGAACTTAGCTAAAAATGCTGTGAGCACAGTGCTCCCTGTATGCAAAGGCTTCAGCGCTAGTGGTCTTCTCAGGAGTACTATTAGGTGCCTTTACTCTCAGTTGCAACCATGGGGGAAAAGACTATGTGTTTGCTGTAGCAAGGATATAAGAGAGACAGAGCTGTGACCATGGGACCTGTGGTCTGTCACCACCCCTCTTTCTCTCCAGAACTACAGGTAAAATTAGTTGTGGTACATAAAAATCATGTTGATATGACATATGTGAAATAAGAGAACTTAGAGGGAGAGATGGTCGTAGACACATTTTTTTAAAAAAAAGAATATTGTAGGAGGTTAGAGCATTTGGTACTGATACTGAAGAGATCTGCATATAAATCCCAGTTCAGACATGAGTAGCTAAGTTTGGAGCAGAATTATCTTCAATCCAGCCTACTTCCCAAAACAGTTGTGAGGATAAGAGAAATCTTTTATGCTATATTTGGTGGGATAGCTCAGGTACTTGGCTGCAGAGACAGAGGTTGGTTGTTCAATGCCTCACTATGACTCCAGGGAGAAGAGCCAGCCTGTGTGTCCTTGGGCAAGCTGCACAGTGTAAGCACCCCCCACCCCAAAGAACAGAAAAGTGGTAAACCACTTCTGAGTACTCTTTACGTAGAAAACTGAAAAGGGTTGCCATTAAATCAAAATCGATTTGATGGCACACAATTATTATTATTATTGGTTTACATAGGAAAAGCTGGTATTGAAACAAAACTCTTTCTCAGAACAAAATTTGTCATTTTTTCCTACTTGGTGGTTGACAAAACCCAATCCTTTCATATTTCTTAATGTTGTAGGCATGAAGTTGGGTTGGAAGTTTGTGATGAATATGCATATTGCTATCTCTTTCTCTCCCCCCCTCCTTTTCTCATGCATCATGTTTACGGTGATTCCCCTTTTCCCTTCCTTGGAGATGTGTTCTGTGATGTCATCCTCTCCCACACTGATCTCCCTATTCTCTTCTGTCAGCACTTTGCATTTTTGAGCCTCCATTTGTTTACTCAAATGGAACTTACTTTGCAGTTGGAAAAGCAGGAGGATGCTGAGATTATGCTTTATTTGGCCATATGCATGTTTACGTGGCTGAGCTTGTGGTGATCAGATTTTAGTTTGTGTTTAACAAATGGGTAGGTCAAGCTCTAGACAAGCTATTACAAAGGTAAGTTTATGGGAATCTGAGCCTGTGTATCTACACACGAGAGAAACCTATGATTTATTGTAGAATTTATGCTGCTAGTTTCCATGCAGAGCTGGATCAGGGTTGCATAGGCAAGCCAGAGTTGCCACCCATTTGCTTCTAGTTGCAGCCAGAACACCGCATGCATGAGGCCCCACCTCACACTAGCAGAAAATTAGAGGCATCCTTGCTTCCTCATAAAAAAAGGTAATTTATGAATCAGTCAAATTTCCATAACTGCTTAGAATAAAACAATTTTTGCATGGAATTTATACATATGTTGCAGTCAGCATCATGTAGGCCTATGGAGAAAGAAAGGGGAATGATGTTAGAATGCTTCTGTTTTTATAAATGCTTGTTTTAAATATATAGTTTTTAAAAGTAGAGTGACTAATGGAGCTTCTTTGGATTGATCAAAATACATCTCTTTCTTTTAACCAATTAATGTGAGCAACTAAGCATTACAGATGTATTTCTAATCTCTTCTGTTCCCAATAGGTCACTGTTTCCTCCTTCCCTTGTTGCCACCTTTTCAGGCAGCAGCACCATGGATAGATGATCTTGGCCTTGCCCCGCCATGCTGCAGGTGCGTGGCCGCTACCTGCTGCTCTTCCTGGGAGTGCAGCTGGTGGTGATGGCACTGCTGTACTGCGAGGGCTACCGGAAGCGTGTTGCCTATTTCCTAGGCATTTTCTACAAAGGGAGCACATTGACAATGCTGGCCAGCCTACACAATGCCTCACTGGCAGGGGATGTCTATGCCAACCTCAGCCTGATTGCCCACCCCCCAGTGCCCCCGGAGAATCTTCCATACTGTCCAGACATCTCTCCTTTCCTTGGTAAGAGAGCCATGTCTCGTGTATTTTCAGCCCTGCTGGCATTTGTTTCAAGACTTCAGTAGTGTTGGTTGGTGCAGGACTTCAGGAGTAGAAAAACAGAATTCATAAGGTACCCTTCTCTTTAATCAGTCAGTGGTGTATGTAGAAGGTGACCCAAGCATTATCAGTTAACTTTGTGGGAGAAGGTAAGCATGAGAAGGTGGAGTAAACTCTGAACAAGCTTTTGGAGTTATTCTATTTCTTAATAATTTGCTATCCTTCGATTGGGGTTTGATAGAACTGGAGAGCTTGCACCAGCTTTACATTTCTGGCTAGTCTGATCAAAGAGACCCAGAATCGTGTGTTGCTGCAGCTTTTATCACAAGAGCTCTGCTTAGTGAGTAGAAGTGTAGATAATAATGGGAAACATATTTGGGATCTGGACTTATCCTGAAATTGAGCTTGATTAAAATACAGTACTAAGTAGTTTGTGAACTGACACAGATGGTTCTCTGTGCTTTGCCTCAGTTTTTCCTAGCACAATTATTGAAAATGTTTTAACACGTAAAAGCTTGAGACTATGACCAGAAAAAAAGAGAGGTAGAGCAAATAAGGAAAGAATACTGGAAAAGATAAGGAAATTAATTGTAAAAGCTTATTTTAGTCTACAATGAAAATGTTTTGAGTTGTTCATTAGAATTTTGGTGCACTGTGAGGATCACCCCCAGTTGTGCTGACACACCCTGGTTAAAAAAAAGTTTGATAGACCATCTTCACTTATTTACAGGAGGCCCCATTCGAGTGACCTTCCCCCCAGGCTTGTCCCTGGAAGATATTAGCCGAAAGAATCCCTATGTGAGCAAAGGGGGGCGTTACCGTCCCCCTGATTGTGATGCCCTCCACAAAACAGCTGTCATCATTCCTCACCGCAACCGGGAGCAGCACCTCAAGTACCTGCTGTACTACCTTCACCCTTTCCTGCAGCGGCAGCAACTCAGCTATGGCATCTATATCATCCACCAGGTACATTTCCCTAACACTGTATGAGGCAACTGGGAGTACCTCCTGTATTGCCAGCACAATCCTAGGAAGGAGTCAGATAGTGACATTAAACCTGGGACTGCTGCTTCTTTTTAGGGACAAGAGGAAAAGAGTGCAGATGGCCCAGCCACAGTTTTCTGTGAGAGTTTATGGTAGTGTTCATAGTACTCTCTCTCAGCCTCTACATTCATGTGTAATTTTAATTCTTTTAGGAGAGCAAGGTGCAGAGGCAATAGTCCCAGCACTCAGCTTTATTTATTGGTAGTTCTTATGTGCCATTAAGTCTTTTCCAAGTTGTAAAAATCCTGTGACTTAATGACCTCCAAAGAGTCCTCTTATTAACAGACCCACTTAGGTATTGGAAATGAAAACTAGTAGCATGTGGCCAAGCAAGTCTCTCTCTCTCTCTCTGTGTGTGTGTGTTCAACAACAAAAGAGGGCAATTGTAGTTCTTCAATTGCTACAGTAACAGACACAGAGCAGTTGTTCCATCCAAGTGTTTCAGTGAGTTGTACCTTTTTTGTGCCATCAGCTCTAGGGAGGTGGTGAAGAGCTGGCTGCAAGGCAAAAGATCCCAGCAATTGTGCTGCAGAAGGAGAGATGGGATTGGATATTGGAAGTGACTGAGTGACCAGCATTCATTGGCACAAAATACAGTGGTGCCTTGCTTAACGATTTTAATTGGTTAAAAAAAATTGCTATGGGAAAACATTGTTAAGCGAAACACGTTTTCCTATAAAGATGCGTTGAAAACTGGATAATCCGTTCCAATAGGAACGGATTGCCGTCCTTAAGTGAAAATTGCCATAGGAAACATCTTTAAGCCGAACATGGTTCCCCAATTGAAATGCATTCAAACCTATTCAATGCATTTCAATGGTGAAAAAAAAATTCACAAAAAAATTAAAAAGACTCAGAACAAAGCCAAATTAATTTAACGAAGGTTTTATTAGGTGCACTAACGATTCCAAGCATTTTAAACATTTTGTAAACATTTTAGAATATTTTTAAAATAGCAAAAAACGGGGCTGTCAAAAAAAAGTTAAGCGAAACGGGGGACCTAAAACCAAAAACGTTAAGCGAAACATGGTTCCAAAATCGCTAAGCGAAAATCGCCCATAGGGAAAATCGTTAAATGGAGCACAAGATCGCTCCGAAAAAGCCATCATTAAGCAAATTTTTTGTTAAACGAAGCAATCGTTAAGCGAGGCACCACTGTACTTAACTAGCAGGATATAAGCTGGGGAATCTTGGTTGTTGAAGAATAATTTCTTACTCCTGGAACTTACTGAGCTGAAGAGCCCATGATGAACAGGATAGAAAGAAGAATGAAAAAGGAGTAGCATAGGAGAAGGGGTGCTATTTTGCTTAGTATTGGCTACCCCAGATGTGAATATCCATCATGCTGCTGATCATCATAGCTGCAAAATGCAGTTGGATTTAAGATTTGACTGTTAGGTTTTAGATTTGGGTATTGTACTGGCAACTTTTAGCCAGAATGACCACTGTATGAGAGAAATGTCAAAGACATAGCTGTGTTAGGCTGTTACAGAGAAAACAACAGAGTCCTGTGGCACCTTTAGGACTAACAAGTTTCATTTAGCTTGAGCTTTCATAGACCATAGCTCACTTCGTCAGATGAATAGCATACAGCATCAACAGACAGATAATTTATAGAGTAATGGGGAGGGCAGGAGAATGAAATGGAAGACGTCCAGCATGGCATAGCTATTGACTAACCATCACTATGTTGGACCTATTGGGTTTCCATTTCATGCGTCTACCTTCCCCATTATTCTAGAAATGTTGACTATGTTGGACCTATTGGGTTTCCATTATATTTCATGAGTCTACCTTCCCCATTATTCTAGAAATGTTTGTCCTCTGAAGCTGTTGTTTTTATGTGACTTTAAGCTTTATGTGACTCCAGCTTATAGCAACCCTAATGGGGTTTTCAAGGTGTGTGAGATATTTAAGGGATGGTTTCATCAGAGCCAGCCCTTGGAAAGTTTCCATAGCTGAGTGGGGATTTGAACCTGGGTCTCCCGAATCCTAGTTCATCACTCTGTTAATTACTTACAATGGCTTTCACCTGAGACTGAAGTTACGCACTGTGCATCTAAAGAAGCAGGCCACAATGTATGAAAGTTAGAACAACATCCCCCCTCCGTCCCACATCTCAATCTTGTTAAAGGTGCCACAGGGCTGACTATGAGAGAGAAGCTCTGTAGGGAAACTTAATATAGGATGTATGAATATGTGTCTGTATTTCTCTAATGTAAGTGTTGCCCATCGCAGGCTGAGAACTACACTTTTAACCGAGCCAAACTCTTGAATGTGGGCTTCAAGGAAGCTATGAAAGATGAGGACTGGGACTGTATATTCTTCCATGATGTGGACCTTATCCCCGAGGATGATCGCAATTTGTATACCTGTGACCGATTTCCTAAGCATGTGGCAGTGGCCATGGACAAGTTTAGCTACAAGTAAGCTAATTGTGATGGGGGAATGAGCTCCATCAAATAATTCCTTGTGATTCACAAAGGTGAATGACATGGAGGCAAGAGGGCTACTCTACCTCCTGCCAGTTTGAGGACTCCCAGCCCCATAATTCGGCTGGGGATTTTCCCACTAAATTATGAGACTGTAGGTTCTTTAATTCTTAAAATTCCAATTCTCCAAGACCAACTTTCATTAATTCTTTCTTTCTCATAATTGTCTTCACTAGTCTTATTCCATTTGGTTGTGTACAAATTGGCACCTGAATCATCTTATTTTCCTCTTCCTCCCCTTTTGTTCTTTTGTATTGTGTTCATTAAATGGCATGATTATTGAAGCAGGGTTTCTTGTATGAATTCTGTATGGGAAATTTTAGATTCATGTATATCTTCCAACTGAGATTCTATACATCTGGGAAATCCTATGAACACTGGGCTACCTGCAAGGCTTCCCTAAATATTACTGTCCTTACGTATTTTGGCAGGCTTCCCTATAAGACTTACTTTGGAGGTGTTTCAGCACTCAGTCCAGAGCAATATATGAAGATGAACGGCTTTCCTAACAATTACTGGGGCTGGGGTGGTGAAGATGACGACATTGCAGTTCGGTAAGGATCTTCCTGGTAAAGGTAGACCTTGGTGCTTGAAGATCAGTTTTCAGACGTGCAGCACCCTGTCATTCAGATGGAGGTCAGTCAACTTTCAGTGCAGAGTTGATAGTGGATGTAACCTCGAGTCCTGGCTTCTGGAATTTCTCTGTTTCTCCAAAATTTGTCTCAGAGCATGGGAAACATTGAGAGAGACATTAGATTAGGGAGGAAGCCAGGGTTCTTGTATTCTGTTCTTGCTGTTGGGCAAAAATGTAATTGTTTGGTGGTGCTGAAACAATGCATTATATTGGACTAGCATGACTGCTAAGGTACTTCTATGTGCTTGCTGGACCTTACTGATGTTGTCATATCTATCCCATTTCCTATAGGGTAGCACTGAGTGGAATGGTTATCTCTCGCCCATCTATTCAGTATGGCCGCTATCGTATGATCAAGCATGGACACGACAAAGGAAATGAACAGAATCCGAAGAGGTGAGTACTAGAGAGGACTATTTGGGGAGGAAAACTGGCTGAGCTTATCAGATAAGCACACTTCTGTGTAAGACTAGATGGCCAAATGCAGTTTTATCTGTAGACCCCAAATAATTTTATCCCTTGCATCTGCCTTAACAGAACCCTCTGGGACAGGTTGCATACCCATTGAAGATGGCACTACAAATGAGTGGCACATAAGGAGTTACAACCTTCAGTCTGTGCTTGTGGTGGTAAATGAAGTCTCTAACATTAACTGAGCTGATGTGATGGCAGTTAAGGTTAGGTTGCTCAACCAGCTGCAGTTCAGCTTCTGGGAAGGAAGGGAAAATTCCCAATCTAAAACATGTTGAGATATTGAAAGAAGCCCTCAGATATAGAGAAACGGAAGAATGGGGGGTCCAGGGCAGTTAGAGCTAGATAGGCCCCTTTGCTTTTCTATTGAGATCCTTCCCTGATCCTCGTGCATCTCTGGGGTGCCAGATTTTGCTAGTGCACTGTAGTTGCAGTGCAAAATAACTTGGGCTAGAAGTTGTCACAGAAAGCTTGGCTGGCTAGTTCAACCTATTAAGTGAAATAGCCTGCAGCATCACCCAGTGCTGCTTGGTCCTCACCATGTCATTCAACTATAATCAGAGTATAAGCCACATTGTCGAAATCTCTGACCAAGCTTTCCTTTGCATCACCTTGCTCCAGAGTGTCCAGGCCATTGTTTTTTGTGTTTTTTTTGTTAATGCCTATCTCTTTTGAGAAGGAAGAATGGTAGTCCTGCCCTGGTCTTCCTAGCTCATTCCTTCAACTCTGTCCTTGTACATATTGTTAACCTCAAAGCAATTTCTTCAAGCCACAATATCTTAATCAACAACACTTTTCTTTGTGTGCCCTCCCTTTGTGTCCCCTCCTGATCTTATGAATTTGTTCAGAGTACCCAATCTGTTATTGGTAGTTGTTTTTTGATTATTTGGGGGTGGTTTAGATGTGGATTTTTAAAATTTTCTTTTACTAAAAACATGACTGTTCTCTTGCTTACAGTGTTGTGTTGCAAACCCACCTCCCCCATAAAAACCCACAATTTTTAAAAGAATTTAATCTAAAGAATGTAATACCTGTCTCCTAAACTACGAATACTGGAAGCTATGCTATTCTTGGTTGCAAAAGAGTGTGAGTTCCTGAATCAAATCTTCCCCATGGCTTTCTTCTACAGATTTAACTTGCTGGCTAAGACAAGGAGAACATGGAAGCAGGATGGCATGAATACACTGGAGTATCTCCTGATCTCCAAAGAGTTACATCCCCTTTACACGAACATCACTGTCTTCATTGGCACTGAGAAGGGAATGCGCCGTTCAACGTGATGTACTTGTCACAGAGTGCCATGGAGACAGGAATCTCACCTTGTCACTGATGCAGGACTGAGGAAACCAAAGAATCCACAGCGGGATATACAGCCCCGAGCAGTGTGGCTGCCATGTGCGGACTGTAGGGTCCAGCAAGGTGCTAGGTGTGTGTTCTGGAGACAGAGTAGAGACTCACCGCAAGATTCCCTCCCACTTGCCCAGTTTTTAATCTTGGGGTGTGGGTGGGTTCAGTTCTTTTGGGACTCAGCTAGTGGGATGCCTTTCATATCTTGGTTGAAGAGGTGGCAAAGTAGCATGACCAGAGGAGCAGGACTGTCCTTTGCAGTCTGAATCTCCACAGCTGCTGTGCCATGGTTTGTCTTTCTTATTAAAGTGCAATTTATTTTAAAAATCCTGGCTAAGTGGCGGTTTCTCTTCTTGCACCAGAGCTTAAGAGGAAGTTGTTGGAGGCCAGTTCTGGCTAAAGCTGCACTTTTTGCCAGTACAGAAGAGCCGGGACCTGCTTGGCTGAAAAGCGAGAGGCTGGGTGAGAGTCAACACTGACTGTGCAGTCTCTCTATCACTGATTGGCAAGTCAACACAGTAGCACCAGGATGGTTTTGTCTCAGCAAGGAAATAAATCATGATGGGAGGATATTGTGGGCTTGTATGCATATTGTTAGGAGTTTCTAGGAAGACATGGTGGAATGGCAGACTATGTTCTGCTTCTTCCATCTTGCAAGGGCATTTGCTTTGAAGAGCCCCCTTTCCATTCTGTTGTTGAAATCTTGCTGCAAAAAAGGATTCTGATGAGATTTTTGCCCTTGGATAAATTTTAAGATTCTTTGCTTCTTGACCTGTGGGGGTTCAGCTGGTTATCTGAGTAGGCCCATGTAGCGATCCTTTCCACAACAATATCTGTTTTCTCCAGGAACAGGTCCCTCATTGCTGCTCTAACCAGGTTTCCATGCAGCCCGATTTCTGTAATGCTGTGGGATGTGCAACGATCACAAATGGTGAAGCAGGTGTAATAGATATTTCAAGTTGAAATTATCTGAAAGCACTTGTAAAACAAAAATAAGTGTATAAACTCACATGATTTGTTTCTGCGTTTGGAAATTAGCCCTGTCATTCTTGGAAGCCAGAAGGGTCAACCAGTTAGCACTGATCAGAAAATAGGTGAAGATAGCTGTCATAAAGTCTTTTGCTGTTCAGTGGATGCCCTGTCAGTCTTCACTAAACTTCCAAATTCCTCCAACAACTAAAGGGATCTGTTGTGCAACTGTTTGATGCAGCTGTACTTTTTGTAAATAGAAGTATTTTAAACATTCCTCAGAAATGTGGATAACGGGGGCAGAAAACATAATATGAAGAATTGTATTGAAATGTTTGAGATGTTAGGAGCTTGTTAAGAGCTCTGCTGGAACAAACTGAAGGTCCATTTAATTAAGTATTCTGCTTCCAAAAGCTAGCCAGGAAACTGCAATGTGGGGGGCAAATAAGTGGCACTATGACAAGATAAAAGTGGCATTAACTGACTCACCCTGGTTGAAGGAGCAGCATGGTCGTTAGTCCACAGCAGCAGTCTGAACTCTGTAGTAGTTCTACTAGAGTGCTATCCAATTCAGCATATGCGGACATAGCAAGCTGCCAAGAAAGCCCAAGAGTTGGCATTCTGTTTTAAGATTTTTTTAAAAAATGAAGGGACTAGTTAAAAGAAAGCTGGAGAGGGATCTTTGAGGGCATCAAACCCAAGCTTTCAGGATAAAGGCTTAAAAACACAATAGAAATTTGTCTAGGAAATTTGCACATTAGGAAGTTGAAGGGAATACCAGTGTGGTTAATGACCATAATCAAGGAAGCAATAAAGCCAAGAATGCTTTCTTCTAAGAGATAATGAGAAGACATTCAGTAGGTTGCTGAAACATTATGACTAACTGCTACCTTCTGTAAAGACATAATCCAAGAGACAGTAGAGATGTTAAATGACAACTGAATAGAAGATGCATTAATGAAGACAGGGAGATTAGAAAGAGCTGAATGAAGGGAGGGCATTAAATATACTGCTATTTCTGAACAGAACATTCAGGGAAATATCTTGGAAAATTAGACAAATACTGATGAAGTGACACTGGAATACATATTAATTTTTAAGAAATCTCTAGATTCAGATGATACCCACTCCAACATTGAAATTAAGGTCATGTTTTTCAATTAACTTTAAAGAGTTGCTTAAGAAGAATCGGCATGGCTTCCTTGGGAAAAGGTTTTAGCTTCCCAGCTTTTTGGAAGTTCTTGTAGCATAGCATGTGTGGATGGCATGACAGTCGATTATTCCACACTGTCTCTACTGATTGCCAAATCTCTTTTGAAACGTTCCTAAGTGTTGATTGGCATGTATAATGAATTAGTGACTTTTCTTAACATCAGAAAGGAGAAGCAGGTGTACACATTTCACCACAGAGCACTGGTTCCCAAACTTGGGTAACCCAGATGTTCTTAGACTGCAGTTCCCAAAAGCTTTCACCACCAGCTGTGATGGTCAAGGTTTCTGGGAGATGCCATCCCAGAACACCTGGGCTACCTAAGGTTGGGAACTACATCCACAGAGGTCAGCATGGAATGGATTCCCACAGGATTTCTCCTAGGATGGATGGTTTTTAATCCCTTCATAACCAAAATTGATGAGGGATTATCAAGTTCTGGATAATCGTAACCTAAGCAAACTATAGTGTTTTGAAGAGTTCTTTCCAGAGTGGCAAATGAGGTTCAACTAAAAGTATGGATTCATTCTCTGTCAGGAAAACAATGATTTCACATATGCGTTGCTATTCAACTAGAAATCTTAGGCTTTTTGTGGATATATGAAATTATGACACACACACACACACACTGATGATAAATGACTTCCAGGTAGGGATAAGGAAAGGGATTGAAAATAAAACTGCCAGTGGTGAAATACCTTCACATATATTGACGCTGCAGGCATATTGGGAATCTTGGGAGTGCCACTGTCAGTTAGTACTGAACTAGATGAATTACTATCAATCAATACAAAGCAGCTTCCAGGTTTTTGTTTTTAATAAAGAAACTGGCATGGTCTGTAGAATTAGCAGAAGTTGGAAAAATTAAAGTATGGTTTTGAAGACCTGACTGGAACAGTTTCTTTTGCCCTCACCATATCTTAATTTGGTATCAGGCAGTGACACTGAATGACAAGAAATTAAACACATTCATTCAGGATAAGAATACCAGTGGTTACTAATCACAACAACTATGTAAAACCACCTCTTGGTGCAAGTTGCCATAGGGTGGGGAAGGTTATGGCCTTCATAAGTCTGCATTTCTGCTTTTCAGACACCCATATGGCCACTGTGGGAAACAGCATGCAAAACTATATGGACTTCCTGCTCAGATCTAGCAGCACTCCTTTATTGTAAGGTGTCATATTTTGATCATCTTAACCACAACACAGATTTGTGTAAAAGTTTGATTACACTGACAATTTTATTTTAAACCACTTTCCTCCTACTACAATATAGTTGGGCTAGAAAGAAAACTGGTAGACTTCATGCAATCTTTAGTGCAAACAATTTCTTACCACTAGCTGCCTCAGCTTTTTGCTGGGGAGTAAGAGGAACATGATTGTCCCAAGGTCTGCAAAGTATTAAAACCACAGCAGCTATGGTCTTGTGCCTTCCTATCTGCATTGCTGTGCAATATTCCATGGCAGAATATGGTAATCCTGTTTCCTGAAACCGTATTTGTAGCCCTGCTTAGTTGGTTTCTGGTTTGTGAAAGTCTTTACAACTGCTGCAAGGGTGCTTAGGATGGTCCTAAGAAAAGCCCAGCAAGATGTGCAACGGGAGAAGGGTTGTTGCATGCCTTTGGATTAATGACTTGCTTACTGGGGTCCTACTGGAACAGTAATGTACCTGCTTTATTCATGTAAATATTTGAGGCATTCTTGCTTTTTTCCATGGTCAGTTTTCTTTGTCCTGTATATGGAGCTGGAAAAGGAGAGGTCTCTGTCCACATCTCATACCGTATGTGAGGAAGAATACTGGAAAATCAGGTTGCTTGTTCACTTAATGGAGCCTACATATGACCAGGCATCTCCCCTCATCAGTAATTGCATACAGAAAATCATGCCAGAGGTGGCCAAAAATGTATATGAAAAGTATGCCAAAGTTTCAGCAGGAGCTGGAAATAATGGGATATGGCAGCATATACAACTACAGTGTTCTCAAACAGGCCTGCTGCAACAGGCTGTTTTCCTCCACATATTTCATATATCTTTGGTGCTGCTCACAAGTGTCCTTGACTTCAGTGTTTGTTCAGTTTTATTCTGCATCAACACATACACGTTAGATTTACTGCAGAACAAGAGTGAGCCTCAAACTTGCATACAGGCGTAGTATTAGATACATGAACAGACTGCAAGAACGCTGATGACTCAACCAAGGTCTGCTCTCCAGCGACCAACCCAGTGCATCCTGATAAGCTCATAAGGCAGGTATGAAAGCAGTAGCTTTGTGTGTATGATCTATGCAATGGAGAATAGACATAGGTGGGGAGGTTATCACTTTTATGATAGACCTGCAGAGCCAAAAGAGATCCTAGTTCAAATAATGTATAGGTGAAAGACAACAAAACCTGATAAAGGTTTGGGGATGAATATGGTGTTTTATATCCATTAAGATTTAATTTGCCCCACCCCCAGAGAACCTGAGTGTAACTGAACTGTGAAGTCCTTCCCCCCTTCCAGCATGTCACATAAACTTTAAAAAAAAAAACACCTTACAGTCACTACCTAATAGAAGTAGAGTCTGATATACAGTATTCTGTATTTCAACTGTACAGGCCCCAGCAGGAGGGTGGCTAAAACACAAAGCCTGAAGTACCTGAGATGTAACCCATTCCCTAGTCAACATAGTGGATATAAAATAAAGGGGTTAACAAGTTAGACATTAAGTAGTAATTCTCACCAAACTAGTTATACTTTCTTTAGAAGTTGAGTTTGTAACCTATACAAGCTATGCAAATTTTACATACTGTCCCTTTTTTTCTCTCATGCTAGAAGCTGCCAGCCCAGGGCATCTAGACACTTTAGGTGGGCTTCTTAGCCAGCAGTAGTTATTAAAGTATAGCTTTTTGTTATTTGCTCCACAAAAGTGATGTATGCATGGGTAGCTTTTTTTTGTACCTACTATCTAGACAAAAAATGTTATTAACAACTTTCTTTCAACCCACTGCTGTGCAACTCTGTTGCCATTTCTGCTTCCTTCTACTACAAAATGTACTCTGGCTGGTCTTGCTGACTTTACGTATTTCTGCAATGCCCTTACATCCCTTCCCTTGGATATTTTACAAATTATAACCTACCTATTTGTGAGGTCCTCTAGTTAGTACATAGGTAGGGAAACACTTTGGCCTTCAACCAATTAAAAGCAAGTTGTAAGCATTAGTGGCAGTGGGACAAAAAATCAGAACTGCCTGTAGTTTCAAGGCTTTCAATTAGGCTGAAATTAATCAGCACTGTCTCTGCAGTCAAAAGGAGTAGACACGTCCCTTTTGGAGAGAACAACTGGTTCTAAGGATGACGATGACTGAACATAGTACCAGAGATTTTTCTTCTTTTGTTCACTTGCAGAACTCCATACTAGTACATTATAGATTTGATTTCAAGATTTAAAAGTCTGTATCAAGTAATTTCAAATACAGAGTGAAATAATCAGATAATGACTACTTTCATAACCACAGGTACTGTTTGCACTATGTTCAAGCTGCTATTGAAGCTTAGTCGTCCTTACCAATTCAGGCAATTACTTAACATATCGGAGACAAGCTGGAGGTGATAAAGGAATCTTTCATTTTCACCCTGTGAACAGTTTCTGAAGGATATGGATGAATGACAGTTATGTGGAAATGTGAATCCCATGTGCCAGTGGTAGTGGTGGGACAGGTAACTAGGGAAGCAAGGACACAGAACCCTCTGATGATTACTTCTAAACATTTATCATTTAAATGGGGATAGAAAACTAACGGATACATTCCCAAGTTAAGCAGCTGGCTGTAAATGCTTGTTTGGATGAACTATAACAGACTATTTTAATTAAAGATAGCAGCAACCAAAATTTGCAGAGCTTGCAACTTTTGTGATACTTGTGTGCTGTAAGTGGCCATGGTTGAGGATTCTTTGTGTCCAGCAGGAAGTTCTTTCTTATAAGCCTGACTTTCCATTTAATTTTCCATCCACTACTAAGTTTGCTCTTAAGCACAGTTTCAGGGCCCCCTTTTTGGGCAGTCCCTGTACAACCACAATGGTCTGTATAACGTATGACTCCTAGCTGGACATCAATGTACTAGCCCAAACAGCAATCATCTCAACCCATCCACTCACCTTTTTAGTGGTACTATCATATACAACACTGCACGTGTTCTGTTATGAAGAACAAAAACCTGCATTGAGAGAAGTATTTTGTAATCTACAATAAAGTTACTGCAAATGTGTTTCCCACTACTGTTGAGAGAGAAGAGGGAGAGAATGGGACAATGGGCATTACTAAGAACTGCAACCTCCTCAATGACTTGTGGAAATTACCTGCACTTTTAAAAACTGGACTTTATAGCCAAGAAAATACAACATGTTCTTTAAAAAAAAACCAACCCAGCAGATTCTTAGGGTAATAAATCCCAGTATTAACTGCCATGCTATTTTACAGTAGGCTTAGGCTTGAGTGTAGTTACGTGTATACAAGATGGTTAAGCACATAGCTAGCATATGGTGGAACAAATTACTGGACTTTAAAAAAGGCTTAGCACCACCAAAGCATGCCACGTCTAACCACTTAACATTTCCATAGGGCTATTGCATTTTGCCTGACAGCAGCTGGGCCTGGAACTTAGGTCCCCTGTTGCAGCGTGATTGGCCAGACTGTTCCAGAGCAACATGCCTTCATCTGTCCTAAATGTTGTCCCTCTCTCAAGCTCAAAGGTGCAGTGCCTCTAAGTAGTGAACAGTTGTCTTTTTCCGAGGGCTCCTTTTGTAAAGCCGAGCCAACGCTCATACTGCTGAACGAACAGTATGCTGCCAGAACTGCTCAACAGGAAAAATGATAAAATTAGACTACAAACTAACATACAAACTTGGCTACCCTTGGTCAGTTACTAAGCCCCCCATCTCTGACTGTATGGCAGGCACCATAAAGCACCTAAAAAATAACAAGCAGCAAGTGGAATGGGAGACTTGGGTTTGGCTGTGGAGCTGTAGGTGTTTTGCCTATTCAACAGCTTTTTTAAAAACAGTTACATGAAACTGACACTGATGCATGTTTGTGTCTCAATGGCCAATCCCAAGTGACAAGGAACAGTGATACAGGCCACAACCCTCACTCTCTGCACAGCTTCCACACTTCTAATTAAGAAAGCAGAATCTGAAGGAAACAGCCTGAGCTCAGACAACTGAATCCTGTGCAAAGGTGCATGAGCTCACATAAGGCAGAGTTAAAAAGTTCACAGCCATGGTCCAGCTCAGGTCCCACTCTGCCACATTCTCACAATATTGTGTGGCATGTGTGATTATATTCCTGCTGATTCCAGAACAGAGACCTAGGCACTGTCTTCCCTCATGTACACATATAACAAGAGGCAGGTCCAAGATGGCTGCATATGAGTCGGCATAAACATTCGCTGGTTGGGGCAACCCTTTATTTCCAAGCAGGGGGAAGTTTTAGCAGCAATTCCCATGGGACCACACAGGCCACCAAGCCCATTAGTCCACGTAGTGCACAGGAGTCTGTCCATCCAAGCACAAAATGTTGAAATATCTCGCACCAGGAAAGGGAATGGCTGGCAGGCCACATGCTGCTGAGTGATTCATGAGGGGCCATGGCCAGGTAGGACCACACAAGTCAGAAAAAGCACTGACCCATAGGGGGAAGACGGCATCCAGGCTGCAAGGGCAATAGGATGCTGGCTCCACATGCTTCCCCCTGTCCTATTCCCTCTCCCCTCCCCTCCCCTCCCACTTCTCCCCCCAAACAATGCTTACCACTTGCAGCTGGGTCCTGGATAACAACAGGACCTGGTCTCTAGACTGGCCACAGCCAGGCAACCTGACCCCATCCCACCGCAAGTCCTGGCCCACTCAGATTCTCACATATGGAGAAGTGCTCTGTGGGCACTGATTCCCTGCCCTACAGTCAGTCCTGGCCCGTCCAGGCTCTGGTGCAACAAGGGAGTGCTCTTGCTGGGCACTGGTTCCTAGCCTGCCGGGCCAGTCCATCATCAGGAGCTGGCAGCTGTGCCCTGGGGCACACAGACACCCATCAGTGCAGTCTCATCAGTGTCTCGGTGCCCACGCCCACGGAGAGGATAATTGAGGCCAAGTCCTTCAGGGCGTGAGCCGCCTGCAGTCCTAGTCCGGAAAGCTGAGGCTCCCAAGTGCAAGTTTGATGAGCCCAGCACAGTAGGGTTGCAGTCCAGATGGCGAGGGCCCAGAGATACCTCCATGGCCTCTGGGAGCGGGGGAGACAATGGGAGCGGAGGGCGCTGGTATGGAGGGTGCCCACTTGGGGGAAAACATGGCATGGCCTGGCTTGGTGTGGGCTTATGAGGTAAGATGTGAGGAATACTCTCGTTGTCACCGCTGGCCCAGAGACGCATCTGCTGCTGAGGGGGAGCCTGCAAGAACAGTAAGGGGAGAACGTGACACATGTGGCAGACTCGTAGTAGGACAGACACACTAAGAAGGAACAATGCGTGGAGAATGTTAGTGGGAAGACTGGATTTTTACAGAAATGACACAGAAACCATACTGGTTAGAACCTAAAAGCCAACATACTTGGGGACTTTGCATCTCGCAGTCTGCATGCACAGTGCCCATGCTGCCGTAGTAACGATTACTGTAACGGTAACCACGGTTGTCATTGGAAGAACCACTGGAACCACCTGTCAGGAGAAAATATTGAACAGTCACTGAAACAGACTAGAACCAAAAGAAGATTTGCTATATAGCATAGTTTCAAAGGTCCAAGTTGACTATGGAGGAAAGGAATAGTTAGGTGCTCTTCCCTCTTGAGCAGCAAGAGGAGCTTCCAGTACATAAAAGTGATGGCTAAAGATGAAGCTGATAATGGAAAGTGGATGACAGGGACATACCAGAACTGGACACAGAACTGGTGGTGCTGGTGGAGTGGCTGTGCTCTGTGCCCAGGCTGGGTGAGGTGCTGGCGCTTGTGTTGGTGCCCTCATCAGCAGTTTTCTTGAAGAAGTTGTGCTGCAGGGCATAGAAGGGGGTGATGCGGCTACGGGGTTCGTAGTCCAACATGCGTAACACCAAGTCCTTGAACTTCAGGTAGTCAGAAGGTGAATGGCCCTGTTCTCCTGCACGGCGCCCGCCTGGGCCCCCACTTTCAACCCCCAGCACTTCATGCAGCCGCCGTGTCCCTGGAACCTTGTAGTCCTAAAAGACACCAAGTAGTAGTCTAATTAGCTGGATTTTGCTTACAGCAAGATGGAGAAAGCTTTGCATCACCAAGATTGTTGCATTGTTGCACTACTCCTGAAGTAGTCAACAGAAGGGCTATCAGCTGTGCTAAGAAGAGAGTGTGGTTTTGCACTGGACAAACAAAAACAACAGACATTTTCAGGTGTTAGGGAATCCTGTTTCTTCAACAAGCTTAAGAGGGGAACACTGAGCCTCACTCCTTCTGCCACTGCTTTCTTCATGTAGTCAACATGGTTGGGTGAAATTTACTTGACTGACAAAAGCTTATTGTTTGCTCAATTTTAGTGGTTTAATAGCTGGCTGGATAGCTCAGTGATTTAGGTATCTGGCTGCAGAGCCAGAGGTTGTGAATTTGATTCTCCACTGTGTCTCCAGGGAGGGGAGCCAGCCTAGGTAGTCATGGGCAAGCTGTACAGTCCCAAGATGTCCCCAGAAGAAGGGAATGGCAAACCATTTCTGAGTATTCTCTACCTGGAAGACCCTGAAAGGGATTGCTATAAGTCAGAATTGACTTGTTAGTACCCAATTAAAATTGATAAAGGTATCACCTACTCTTCCATAAGGAATGTCGTGACACTTAAAGCCTAACAAGTTGTACAGATTAACATGCTAATAAAACATGTTAGTTTTTAAAAGTGATACACAACTCTCTCTGAACCAACTATTCACAATGTTGTAGCGTAACATCACCTTGAGCAGCCTTACAAATACCATTATTAGGTAAATTCAAAGAGCACTGGCAAGGCTAATTAGCTTCTAGAACACCGCTTTAAAGCTTTTTGAACAAAAGAGAGAGAACGTGATAGGATGGTGTGAGAACTATATGGACATCAGAAAACTGGGCTAAGTGTTACCTTCCTGCCGTCTTTGCCCCGCCGGAGGACCCAGCCCCCCTCAGGCAGCTTTTCAAAGTACTTTCGAGCCTTGGGAGCCTGCTCCAACATGTGAGGGGGTGGCAGACCCAGCACTTCCACAATCCGGCTCATCTGGTCTGCCTGCAGAGGAAAGACACAGAATGAAGGGTACCAAGGTTAGTTCACAGAGCTCCCCGTGCCTAAACTCTTTATTTCCTTCATTGAGGCTTCTTGCATCCACAGCACCCCCAATCACAACTCTACTCAAGCAACTTATATATAGAGAGAGAGAGCCACTTCTTATACTGAAGAGCCATTTCCCCCTCATCTGTAGTAGCATTCTGACATTATCAGGAAGGCCCCCCCAAAATGCCTATTTTCCCTCTCTTTGTCCAAAGAAAAGGATTTAGCTGGCACAATCCAGGTCTTGCACCAAGAGTTAGCCAAATCCTAACATTGATCAGAGAGAATGGGAATTCCCCTTAATGTGCTGCTTGGCCCTCTACACTGTTATCTTGATTAGTGACTGGAGAGAACAATGGAAATCCCCTTGTATACTGTTTACTATCTCAAATGGAATGGCACATGGAAAAAAAAGTCTCACCAGACCACAGGTTTCCCAGCCTTAAATCAAGCCAAACAGCTGTCCTGATTAAATATCAATTTTTACAACTAACTCTCTGGAGCTAACTCTCCGGGAGGTAGTGGAAGACAGGAGGGCCCTGGCGTGTTCTGGTCCATGGGGTCATGAAGAGTCGGACATGACTAAACAACAACTCTGGAGCTTAGTAGCCTGGTACCAGTCTCCTCTCCACTTACCTCATTGGCACCACTGAAGAGAGGCTCCCCTGTGTGCATCTCCACCAGGATACAACCTAGAGACCACATGTCAATTGCCAGATCATAAGGCATGCCTAGCAGCACTTCAGGTGAGCGGTAAAATCGGCTCTGGATATACTGGTAGATCTGTGGGGACAACAGGCAAGATACCATCAAGTGGTATCCAAGAGAATCGGAAGGCACAGACTTGTTTCAGATGGATTGTGTCAAATACTGCCTGGGACAAGTTGCTGGTCCAATGCAATTCAAGCTCTACACTAGGCAAGGTGAAACTGAAGATTTCCTGAAAATGAGCAACGCTGCTAAAACTGGTTCTAATGGTACTCTTGACTACTGAGAGGGTGTCAGTTCCGCCACTGGGAAATTGTTTACAGCTCCAGAGGTTCAGGCTAGGGACCACTCACCCGTTGGCCCAGCTGGCAGGAGCTGCCGAAGTCCACAATCTTGATGGCACTGCGCTTGGGGTTGCAGAGCAGGATATTCTCTGGCTTAAGGTCACAGTGGATGATACTGAGCTCAGGTGTTGCCAGGAAGAGCAGTGCAGTGCACAGCTGCTGGGCAAACTTGCGTGTGAGGTTGAGAGACACACCACGGAAGTTGGTGTTACGAAGCAGGTCATAGAGGTTGTAGGACAGCAACTCAAACACCAGGCACAGATGGCTCCGGAACATGAAATGCCGCTTCAAGTGCACTGAGGGAGAACAGAAAATGTATTATGTTGGCAGAGCTATCCCCATTCCAAATCCCTCTTAATGCTCTGATAGCATCCCTTCTGAGTCTCTTTAACGTGCAGTTAAGATCTCAGGGCATCCAGTATGACAATTTCCCCATAGCCTTGGACCATAAATCATTACGTGCACACATATCAAGCTACAGACAAATATTTGTCTTAGGTTTCTAGAGTGAAAATCTAAACCCTGACTCTAATCTGTGCTCCAACCTTTTTAACGAGTGGGCCAACCTTTTTAACGAGTCTCCCTGTATCACAAAGAGCAAAGTGCACATCCACCTGGAGTCCCTGGGACTTCCATTTCAAGGGTATTTCTACACCGCGGTCTCTTACCCACAAGCTTCCAAATTAATTCCAAAAATCAACTCTCCCCCATATCAAAGATACCCTTCCTGCCAAACTCTCACCTATATAGTATTTCATCTCAGTGTCATGCTGGTTCATGAGCTCCAGCAACCGCAATTCAATCTGAGCCTGGCTCAGAAATGCCTTCTTGTTCTTGATTATCTTAATGGCCACCCACTCCTGGGCCTGTTGGTCATAGGCCTTCACCACCTGGCAAGAAGAAGAAGAAGAAAGGTCAGATCAAGCCCATCTTATTATCACCATGTTGATGAGCTCATACTGGGAAGGACTATCAAGTCCAAAACAGTGTGAGGTAGGGGGAAAAGTCAAGTGAATACACACATGCTAGTCATCCAAAAGAGGTGCCTGGATTAGGATGGCATTAACATTCAAATCCTCTTCAAACAACTACCTAAAGAAGTAACTGGTTTTTACTGAATCAGACTACTAGCTCTTGTAGCTCAGTATTGGCTATAATGTTTGGAAGAAAGCTTCAGAATTTCACACTGGGATCTTTCATAATTGCTTTTTAACTACAGATGTATGGACTGAAGCTGGCGCCTTTTAGAGTAAGAACCATGGCATCTACCAGGGAGTTATGGCTGTTCCTTTTTTGGCTATATCACAGACACATCTGCTTGAGATGGACAACAAGCAACATTTCAACCAAGGTTGACAACAGGACAGGGTGCAACTTGCTGTGTGATTACAAAAACAGATATAGAATACAGGCATTCCTCACTTAACAACCTACCTGTTTAACGACTGCTCGGACTTACCCATCTCAACCCCTCATAAATGTGTGCTTGTGTCTCTGCTATGCCCTTTCTCAAAGGCATGTGACTTATTACTCCTGTATTGCTTATCGCGCAATTCGCTTAACGACCAAGTTGTAGGAATGGAACTTGGTTGTTAAGTGAGGAGTGCCTGTATATCTGCCCTCCCCTGTCTTCAGATCTGTTCTCTGACCTGTCCAAAAGATCCCTTGCCAATGAGTGAGTCTATTTCATAGCGTTCCAGCCAGCGCTCGCCATTGCGGACAATGTAATCATAGTTGTCATCATCATAGCCCTCATTGTGCACCTTCCGCTCCTTCTTGGTGCTGGTGTCTTCCGGTGCCACCTGCAGGGCTCGGCGCTTCTTCTTGGCATAATAGACCTGACAATGAAAAGCAGTATCAAAGTACACCATAAAATAAACCCCTTATTTAAAAACTGGTGATGACATGGTAGCAAGAGGAAGAAAATTAAATTTCTTAGTGCAACATAAAGGAAAGAAACAATGTGACTACATTAAAAACATCAGAATTCTCACTGCTTTCACTGCTGCCACCATGAAGAGGGTCCTCTTACCTCATTGATATGTTTGTATGTTTTAATAAGGTCCACAGACAGCTTGCGTAGTGGGGCCGTGGCAGAATCCCGGAAAGTGAGCGGGATCCTTCTCTGCAGAATGGCCAGGTCTGGCATGATCTGCTGGACAAAAAGAAAAAGACACACACTGGAGAGTGAAAAGGAGGACTCTGATTTTAACTTGGTCTCTAAAGGTACAAGAATACAGAGCAGCAGCCAATGGGCAGAAGACATACATGAAACCTATATGCTGTTCGATTGCAAATCTGTTTTCTTTCTTATATCACTTTCTTTGCAGGGAAGAGACACTCTGCAGAACAAAAACTCCTGGGGTGACGTATAGAGTGTGCACTGTATTTTTCCATGCATAAGATGACCTAATGTATAAGACAACCCCCACTTTTCCATCCCCAAATAAGAAAATTTTATCGATGCTTTCCCCCTCCATTCAGGGTTTAGGAAATGGAGGGGTAAAGCAGCCGTGGAAGGGCTGCATGATCAAAGGGCTGCGATCCTGCAGCACTTTGATGCCTTCCCCTTACTTCCGTGTATAAGACGACCCTCAATTTTAAATCTAAAGATTTTAGATAAAAGTTATGTCTTATACACGGAAAAATACGGTATCTTTAAACTCAGTATATACAGCCTGCTTCCCAAATCCTGTCGCCTTCTGTTGTACCAAAGAGGCTTCCATCTGCTTTGGACTCATGCAAAGTGGTTCTCACCATTTATCATGGCTATTTCTAGGGATAATTACACTAGGCATTTACCTCATTCCACGATGTTTCTGTCAACATGCCCTGGCTGCAGACTGAATTTGTGGCCTTGGCTTTAACAGCAAAAATTTCTAATGTGAACTAAAAAAACATAGTTTAAGTGCTTTAAGTCTCACGTAGATTATGCTTGGAATAGCCACTGGTTAAGAGCCTTGAATGGAGCAAAGCAGAGCTACATGCATTTATAAGCAAGCACTCCATAAAGAAGACAGCTAAACCAGAGGGGAGGAGACATTCCATGGGAATTACCTGCTGATGCTCAGCCATGGGCTGGATGCTGGAGAAGGGCGCATGGCTGTGCTGGCTCGACATGATTGTCTCAATAGGAAGATTGCAGCCAAGAGAGGCAACCTGGCTGCAAGGCGGCAGCTGGCATTGTGGGGTGCTGCTGCCACCTAGAGGACGCAAAAACATTTTTGGTGAACATCATCAGATAAGAAACAAAACAGAATAAACCAAAAAATTTAAAAGGAGATAAAATAGTGTGGCACATTAAAGACTAACTGCTATAATATGAGCTTCTGTAGATCAGGTCCACTTCCCCAGACATAAGACTGAATATATTTTAGCTATAGATAATAGCATTTCCCCCAAACAGCTTCTTGATTTGACCACAGAATGCACTTCACTTCAAGAAGGGAGTAAGGAATCTCAAATACAGAAGGGATGAGATGTAGCCAAGATTCTAGTTCTATTCCTAGCTTTTCAAGAGAGGGGGAGGGAATAGAGGATGACAGCAGATCCAGTTTCCTGAAACAAGCCAGGAAAGAGAACTTCATCTACTCAACTGGAACAAAAAACAAAATGAAACAAAAACAAAACAAAACCAGTGATACAAATTTAAACAATCAGAACCTGTTTCCACTTTACAGAATTATCAAACAGACTCATATTTGCAACATCACAAAGTTCAAGCAGCACAACTGGCTATTAGCATTTCTCAGCTCTTTATACTACTTCTAACTTGCTTTCATTCTTCCAATATGCTAAACAATAGTCGACTAAATTTCATTCTATAGTCAGAAAGTTCCACAGCTAGGAAACAAGTGTTATGTTTTTTATAATCTTCTCTGGACTTAATACTTATAAAGGAACCTACAGTTTTCACTGAATGAAACTTGAAAGGAGGACAAAAACTAGTTAGGAATCTGTTGTTCATAAAAGACAAGGAAGAAGGGGCAGTATAACGGCTCACTCCATTTTATCAGTCCTCGATCAATAACATCAAAAGTGTGGCTCTCAAGTTTTAAGCACTGTGGTACTGCAGAAAAGAGTATTTGGATGTGGATCAGATAAACCATTCATTGATTCAAGTGAGCTCAAATTCCTACTCAACCCTGATGATCACAGAGCGACCTCAGGCTAACAACTATCTCTCAATGTGTTCTACCTCTCAGCACTGCTCAGAGGATATCATGAGGGAACCCATACGCAACCCTGAGCTCCATAGAAGAATAGCAGAATAAAAACATAATCACAGATACTTGAAGGTATAAGGATTATCACTGTATTTTGTGTGAGCAAGGATACATTGAGATGTTTGATCTGCCACGGTGACACATACCTTAGTTACATCTCGGCTGGATTATTGTAACATGCTCTACTTGGGACTGCTATGGGAAAGTGTTTGGAAATCTGAGGAAGCCCAAAACACTGTGGCCAGATTGTTAATGGGCTGGTTAAGGGATCAAATAAACTCCCTGTTACAGGAGCTCCTCTGGCTGCCGATCTTCAGGCAGGCTTTTCCTTAGTAATTGGTTGTCTAAGTGGGGTTTTAAAATCAGGATGATTAGGGTTTTTTGTTATTTTAAGCTGTTTTAATAATAGTTCCCTTTAGCATTTTTAATATAATGTATATTTAATTCTTTTTAAATATTTGAATAATTTATTGTTTTTTCTCTCTCTTTTAATGATGGATCCTTTTATGCAGAAAGGTGGAATAAAATATTTTAAATAAATAAATGCCTATTTTATATGTATCCCCTTCGTGAATAGTATTTTTGAAGACAAAAACTAGAAGGGCAAGGAATAGCAGCAGAAGGAGAGACTAGGGTTGGGAGAAGCTTTAAGACAGGAGGAGAGTAATGGGAAGCAACTAGCGGGAAACAGGCAGAAGTATGCATGTGAAACACTACAGGGGACTAGGATTGTCAAAACTGAAGGAAAAGCTAGGCAAGGTATAGCTAGGAAGCAGGAATCTTATTTGGCAGACATACTTGACTACTTTCTTTAATAGAGCTAGTCTGGTGATCTAATGTTTCCCTTGTTTCTGACATACCTTGAGACGGCTGGAATAGGCCTTCTGCCCCCGAGAAACAAGTCTCTACTGGTGATACTAACTACAGGCACATGAAAACCAATGTTCTAAGAAAGCACTACTCACACTGCACAATTATTAGTGGAAAATTCCAATTAGAACTGCTGATAAGATTATTAAGGTTTCCCATGCAAGACCAGGTTGGTAGTATGTTGGAGCAAGAGGGGAAGCATAAAGGGGACTAGAGATGTGTGGTCAGAGGAGCAACACAAAGGTACAGATTCACCTGACTGTCTGGCAGTATTGAATCTCTCCTTCTCCTGTGCTATTCCTAATTCCAACCTCCAGTATACAGCTTGGATAAACTGCAATGGGTCCCAGAGGTATACTCGCAACAGGACTCTGAAGTGCTCCTTCCCAAACTACAAAACATGTAACTGGTGAAAAGCTGCTGTATTCAGGTTGAGCAAGCAGTCATTATACATACCAAAAACCTCTAACGAGCTGTGGGATAGTGTCTCATTTTATATGGCCTTCTCACAGGTACATGTTTCTGCACCTAATCCTGAGCTCTCAGTCCAGGATAGCTGTTTATGCTCTCTTTTTATAGCTCTGGGCCCACAAATTACAGTAGACTGGTGCTCCAGTGTATGTGCAGTATTTTAACATTATTTCCTGGCAGAACTGGAAAGGGCTGAGTGTTATTTCTTGCTCCATGGTTATGTAGCCTTCAAAGCTGGCACATTTTTAAGCAGCAGAGGCTAAGCCAATTCCTGGAAAGTGAAACAAGCATTAGGCCTCACTGACCCCACACAATTGCAATCAAAGTTGGCCAGTGCAGGACATTAACAAGAAAAGAGACAACTGTTTCTGTCTTTGCCGGCTCCACAATGTTCACTGTAAACTGTGCTGTGTGGTCAGTCCAAATTTAATCTGTGTCAGCCATTTAGAGTAGCAGGGTAACACCACATCTGAATGAAGGGGATTATATGCACTGAAGCAGCCCTGGCTGTTTACAGATTCATATTATAAACTGCATGTCTACACCATTGCAAATTCTGTCTACAAGACAGGCCCTACTAAAAGGAACAGGTGATATATAAGAGTCCAATACTGTTCAAGCACAGAGAAGCCTAGTAATGTGAAGTATATACATGTCAATGATCTTTAAAACTCTCTTTTAAGCTTCCAGGGTGTATTTTTAACTGTATGGAAACTTTTGCCCAGAATATGTACCTATGTGTCTATCAGAATAAATTGTTATATTAAAAACAAAGTCCATGGTATTACTGTGTAGAACTCATGTCCATTAAAAACAAACTTTACCTCCTATTACAGAGATCAGTTGCCACTGAAGTGTATTAGTGCCTACACAATTTGTAATCCTAGAGGTAGAAGGATAAAAAACTTTTGTAAGAAAAGGATTTCGCAGTAAATCATTTTAATCTGTGGCCTACAATAATCTACTCTCTCTCTCTCTCTGAAGTGTCCCTCCAGCACAAAAAAGTTGCTAACTAAAGTTCTAATATTACCACTCATGAGCTGGACGTTACATACTGTACAGTATGATTATAATAAACAATTCAATATTCTCTAATATGGTAAGCCAACTGTGTACCAATAAAAGTTGAATCTTGTGATTTCAACAACTCCATTCATCTTTATATAATTTCTTCTGCTTCTACTAGGCATGGGAAGAGATAGGATAAGATGCAGAAGCAAAAATTTGTGACTGCTCACAATGAAACATCGACTTTGGAAATGTCACCCTTTCATTTTAAGCACTTCTCTATAAGGACTACAAACTTGCTTCAAAGCACAAAATTTTCTGCAGACACCAATACATATATAGCATTGCTAAGAATTCTGTAAAAATCAATCCTATTGCATAGCCTCTCTCTAACAGATAAAAGCACATACTAATACAGCTATAAAAATCTTTGCAATATGCATGTTCCTCTCCCCATACGCACACACCGATGTTCTTCATGTCTAGTGGTTGCCCAGCAGAGATGATAAATTCTGGGTTAGAACTGATTCTCAAAACTCTCAGCGTGTTCCATACGACAAAGAAAACAGACTGCAACACAGAACACAGTTGAGAGGGACAGAAGCTGCCCCAGACACTGTGTTGATTGGGGGCCTGGAGCACTACCAGCCTCATTAGTCTCACTTTCCCATATGTAGGTTTGCACACATGAAGCTGTTAGCACCTTTAACCTTCTACTGTCTACTCAAACAGGCAAGAGTTCTCCCAGGCCACAAGTAGAGGGGTTTGCCCAACGCTGTCTGGAAAATCCTGAAACCAAACCTGTGAGTGTGGTATGTATAGCAAGTGAGGTGTCACTGAGTGATGGCTCCTGGCTATTTTATGATGGAAAAGTGAAACCTTGCATTTCTCCATCCCTAGGCTTCCAGTGATAACAATCCCATTAGGACTTGTGATGTATACAAAGGGCCAGTGCACACCTTAGATACCACTACAATATATAGCTTCCTATCCCCACAATGTGTTGCCCATCCTAAAAGAAATTTCACTCATATATATTACAAAATGCTTTCAAATAAAAATGCCAAACAAATGATAAGTAGCAGCAGTAAAAGTATTTAAATGTGTGCACATCCAGCTCCACTCCTATATGGGCCTTCCCAATGGTCTGCTACTGAAGGAACTGATCAGGTTTGTGCCTTCTTAGCTTTAGCATCAGACGAATACCTAGACCATGTACGTCTACACTAACTATACTGCTGTTTCCCATAGTAGGATGTAAAATACACACATACCAGTTTAAACTGCAGCCTGAAAATTCCTTTTTGTAAACATACCAACATGCAGAGTAAGCCAACCCCGTCACAGTGGTCAGCAGTTGGAATTATGGATGGGGATAGCTCAAATACTTATAAAGCATGTAAAGATTCTACATACAGTATAGTGGAGTAGTGGAGCAATGAGCTATGATGACATTTAATTACATATTTATTATTCAAGTGTATACAGCTTTCCACACCATGTATAAAAAAAGACTGTACCTTATGACATGTTGTATCTTATTTGCTGCCCTTTAGGAACAGCTTTAAGCAATACAGTGGGGTCTTGACTTCAGAACGGCTTGAGTTAAGAACATTTTGACTTAAGAACCGCTCTCATAGGAAAATATTGACTTGACTTAAGTACTTAGATTTGAGTTAAGAACTGAAAAAAAACCACGTGGGAGGCAGGGAAAGTGCGAAATGTGAACTTTCAGTTAACTGTTGGCCAGTGAAAAGGGTGCCTGTCTGCTTCCTCACTCCTCCCAGCGTTTAGAGAGTGGATTGGGAGACAGTCTTCAGACTGCCTGGTACTGTACTGCCTGGACTGTATTTTCCCTGCCTTCCCTGAACCTTTCTTGACCTAAGGAAAAAAAAAAAAGAAACAAAATATCCCCCTCTAGTGGTTGAAGGCGGAAT